CATCCGAGCTTCTGGGATCCCAAACCATGAATTGAAGTTAAAGATTGGGACACCTGTGATGTTGCTGAGGAATATAGACCAGTCTTCAGGTTTGTGCAATGGAACAAGGTTGATCGTTACACGACTTGGCAATCATCTAATTCAAGGCAAAGTCTTGACAGGGAAAAATATTGGCCAAGAAGTTGTTATCCCCCGATTGTTGCTTACACCGTCGGATACAAGAATTCCCTTTAAATTTCAAAGAAAACAGTTTCCGATTATGATATCTTATGCTATGACGATTAATAAAAGTCAGGGACAATCATTGACGCATGTTGGGCTGTTACTAAAGAAACCTGTGTTCAGTCATGGACAACTTTACGTGGCATTATCGCGAGTCACTAATCGCAGTGGATTAAAGATTTTGATTGTTAGTGAAGATCCTGAATCAGCGAACAAAACAGCAAATGTCGTCTACAAAGAAGTTTTCCAAAACTTATAGTTGCATTTTCCCTCATTATGCATTGCTGTAAAACGCATTCTCTTTAATGTATATTATGTATCTTTAGTATAACCAAATTAATCTCTTAATTATATCAATGCTTCTCCTAATTATATAATTTATAATTAGGCCGTGCAACGCACGGGTTCGAGTCTAGTTAGCTCAAAAAAAGAAAGAAGAGAAATACTGCGTAATAATTACTGCACCAACATTTCCATGGACGATTATTGTTTTTTAGAAGAAGAATACATGACACCGAGGTATGTATTGAATACTCCCTCCGTCCTAATTCTTTCTTCCCAGTTTGACTTTTCCCCATTTTTAATTTTTGGCTTTGACTTCAAATTTTATCCTCCGTAAAAAAGATTTTTTTGAAATTTTTTTTGCAATCATTCAAAATATAGAGTTAGAAGATAATTGGTGTAAATATATGAGGGTATTATTGTCATTTGTCATCTTTTTTTCTAATGGGAAGGTAGTTTTAGGGCGGAGAAAAATATGAAGTGGGAAGAAAGTTTTAGGACAGAGGGAGTATTATTATTACCAGAAAATTACTCACAGGTGACACGAGTTTTATCGAAATAATTTCTAGGTCCCTATATTTTCAAGAAGATAACAGAGGTCTTTACATTTTGTTGCAATGATGGGGAGATGACATTCTATCCAATATTTCATTCATAAATGTTAATAAATGTATTTTTTCCTATTATTTTATTAATATTTTATGGTAATAACTCTTAGGTCGCTCCTTTTTTTATTTCTTCGTTTTTCTTTTTTTTGTTACACTTTTTCAAAGCATTTTTTTAGAATGTCTTCTATAAAATCATATGAAAATTCAAAATTGTTTGTATGATATAAAAATAAATGAAATAAAAAATTTTCTAAAAAAGAAAAAACAGAGTTAAATTAAAAAATTGAAAAATAACAAAACAAATTCCCTAGAAACTCCTCAAGATTCTTTTTTTAATACTTTGTATGGAATATTAAAAAGAGATCTAATTTTCTTTTTTGATAAGGTCCTTATTTCATTTATTTTTATATCATGCAAAATTTAAAAATTTGAAACTATTTTCTAGAAGAAAGTTTTAATAAAAATATTTATGAAAAAGTAAATTTTAAAATTTAGGGGAAATTTGTACAATTTTTTAAAGAGTTCGGGGATAAATGGGGTAAAACACTAAAAATGAAGATATTAATATTACATAAAGAGTAATTGTAAAATAGAAAACAATGTGTGTTGTCACGAAGAAAAAATGCATCAAAAAAATATGTAGTATATTTTTTCATTTGATATATACAACTTCGTAGAAATTTACATTTCCTTACACAATCAAACAAAACGATTCTCTAAATAGTATGGAAATGCTTGTTTAGAGTTTAGCATATAATGTGAAATTGGGACCGAAGGAGTATGAAAGTTTATCACTTATTTTGTTGTGGTGTTACTATTTTTTTTAAAGCCAACACTCAATAATGTATTTCAATGTCAGAAAATGGGAGGAAGGTTAGGTGATGATGTTGATGGCTGTGAGTTTGTTTCAGCGGGAGACTGGATTGATAAATTCAAATTGAACATGACAACTACTTTATGCAAAACAATGAAATGGTATTCCTTGAATAAGTGTTTGGACTTTGATATGCTAATTTTTTTTCAATAGAAAGATGTAGTTATATCTTCTGAGTCATCCGAAGAAGAGAAGACGTGAAACTAAAAAGAGCCTTTTAAAGAAGAGGCAATGTCAGACTTGAAAGAGCCTCTACAATATTGTTACAATGACACCTCTAAGCACGATCAATGATCTAACATGATAATAATCGCAAGCTAATGTATCAACATTAATAATACAATTTGTTCACTTAGCTTAGGAAGTTGCATCTCATATATTTGCCATGACAGGTGGACACAAATTAAAGTTGGTGAAGACGACACTTAAATCCAAGAAGAATTGGCGAATATGTAGGAGTTGGTTTCTTCAAGACCCTTCATGTCTGATTGGAATGAAGCTTGCAGAAGTGTTATGATGACTACTTTACGTGGAACACTCATACGATACAATAATAATATAGCAAGCTAATGTATCAACGTTGAGTAATACAATTTATTCTTTTAGCTTGGAAAGTTGCATCTCATATGTCTGTCACGGCAGGTGGATATTGATCTGATCGAGAGCACCATGAAGTTGGAAGAGCAATATGAGAAAATGAAGGAGGCTCGGTTGCAGGCCGAAAGAAGCGTGAAAGTAGCACAAGATCAGAGAACTATGAGATGTGTAAGCCGAATGAGAGTGAACTTGGAGAGGGCACAAAAGAAGAAATTTAATTATATTTTTTGTCCTAAGAGCAATTCCTTTACTCGCCTTCAAAAGACCTTGTATATTAGCCTTAAATTTATATGTTCTTTTTCCCAAGCTCCCAAGCAATAAATTGATTTAAAGTTTGGGAGGTTGGTGAATTTCGAGCGTGCTCTTAAGACAAAAAAAACAAAATTAAATTTCTCCCTTTATGCCCTCTCCAAGTTCACTCTCAGCCAGCTTACACATCTCAGAGTTTTCCTGTGTTTCTTTCACGCTTTTTTAGGCGTGCAAGTCTGCAACCGAAGCTCCAACATTTTCTGAGATTGATCTTCCAACTTTAGTGTGCTCTTCATTAGCTCAGTCTCCACCTGTCATGACAGACATATGAGATGCAACTTCTGAAGCTTAAATAATAAATTGTATTATTCAACATTGATACGTTAACTTACTATATTATTATCCTATCATATGAGTGTTACGTATAAAGTGGTCATCATAATAGTTCTACAATGCTTCATTCCACTCTGACATGGATGGTTTGGATGAAACCAACTCCTGCATTTTTGCCAATTGTTCCTTGAACTTAAGTGTCATCTCTATCAGCTCTGTGTCCACCTGTCATGGCAGACATATGCGAAGCGACTTCCCAAGTTAAAAGAATAAATTATATTATTGAATGCTGATACATTAGCTTGCTATCATCATCATCATCATACCGGATCATCGATTTGCTTAGAGATGTCATGATAATAATATTGCAAAGGCTCTTTCAGGCCTGACGTCGTCTCTTCATCAGAAGGTTCTTTCTAGTATGATGTTGTCTCTTCTTAGGATGACTCATATGAAATAATTGCATCTTTCTATTGAAAAAATAGAACCTCAAACAGCAGACCAAAGTCTAAACACTTATTTAGGGAATACCATTTCACCATTTTGTGTAAAGTAGTCTGTCATCTAGCAATTTGAATTTACCAATTTAGCCTGGCTTGGACCTTCCAACTGAAACAAACTCACAATCATCATCCTCCCATTTTCTGAAACTGAAAGACATTAAGAATTGACTTTAAAAAGAATAGTAACACCACCACAAACCAACACCACCACCAATGTGAATCCAGTTTATTATCTCGTTGGTTCGAGTTACGAGAATTAAGGTGTTACAAATTATATGCACCTTTTTTCTTCTTTTCTTTTTTTTTAAAAAATAGGGAGGCTGTGAGAGATAAAACAAGTAAACTAAATTCCATGGTCCTGCTTCAATCCCGTCATTTACCTTTGCAAACACGGATCTCGGTCAAGCTTACATTAAATAATACTCCCTCCTTCCGGGGATAAACTTTCCACTTTGATTTTTCTTCATTTTTATCAGAAGTTGACTATGTGTGTAATTTGTCTAAAATACCCCTCTCCTACCTTTACCAGTGTCATCACCCAGCCCTAACCACTGTCGTCAGCCAGCCCTAACCACTGTCGTCAGCTCCCCAGTCGGTGCCAGCCTAACTATCGCCGTTTCTCTAACCAGCCTTGCCAGCCACCCTCCACCATAAATAAACATAAAATTTAAATTAAATTGATTTAAATGTATCATAAATAAATATAAAATTTATTTACATGCGAAGAGAGTATTTTATTTATTTTTAAAAGTTTCGTTAGAAACAAAGAGAAAAATAAATATAAAATTAGGATCAAATATTCCCATAAAAGAAAAATTTCTTTCCATATTTAAATTTATTCAAAGATTTCTTACTGCTAACTGCTTTTTTCACTTGTTATCAATCTAGTAGCTTATTAATTGTAAAAAATTACCACACAAGTGTATCACATGTCAACTTTTTAGGGAGTTGAGTCTCATTTTTACACCAGGAATATAAAGAATGAACTATTGTTTGAATAATGAGAAATCAGTAAGAAAGAAAATGTTACATGAGAAAACACAAAACTTAATGTAAATTCACTTGTTTGGATAAGCGAGAAAATGGAAGGAGAAAAGAAAATAAAGTATGAAACAATATGAAAAGTTTTCTCACCATAAATGATAAAATACCCTATTTTCTCACCATTATCTTATCAATTCCTATCTATCCAAACACTAAATTTTTTCTCTTCAATTTCTTATCATTTTCTTTTCTCCTATTTTCTATTCTCATCCAAATAAACCCTAACGATTCCCAGTAGCTTTACAATAAAAAGAATATTATCTGTCCATAGTAAAGACTCAAGAGTCCAAAGCAAAGCAGTATTAGCTCATTAAAAAGAAGCTATCCCTTTATCTTGGGGCGAAAGAAAGCTTCTGCTTAAGGTATTCCAATCCTTTAATCTATTGAAATTCTAATTTTATCTTGATAATTATTATTGATAATATTCTTTTCGCTAAGAAATTTGATTTCACCTCACCGATTTCTCGCTAAACGCAAGTGAAAGGTTGGGAATCATATAGTCTGTGCAGTTGCTTGTTATTTTTCTAGGTGTTCATAATTTTGCGTGAAGTGAGCATGCATGTGTTCTTGATTCTTGTAACTGTAGTTTCATAAACCAGTTTTTGTTGCCGATAAACCTTATTAATTTGGGATTAGGGTTTGTCTTTTTGGTTTCTTTGGTGTTAATTGATTGATTGATTGATGATCTTATGATACCGTGCTATTTTCTTCTCTTCTACTGCTCTGTGCAGTGATAAATCATTGTTGCTGATTATATCAAATTATTTTTTGATTGCTGTAAGCCGTTGTTGGTGACTTGGTGTTGTTGATGGATGGTCTTTTTGATCCCTCTAAGATGCTGAATGTATTTGAATTTCAGAAAATGGGAGGAAGTGTGGGTTATGATGATTGGGAGTTAACATCTCCCGGTTTCGATGATGCGAGAACTTTAGTCTTACTTGGAAGAACCGGGAATGGAAAAAGCGCGACGGGTAATAGTATTATTGGACGGAGAGCATTCAAGTCGATGTCTAGTTCAGCTGGCGTCACCAGCACATGTGAGCTCCAGCAGACTGTTTCATCCGATGGGCAGATCATTAACGTTATTGACACCCCAGGTCTCTATGTTTTTGCAATTACTAATCTTGGAATCATTCGATGTAGCCATTAGAGTGGTTTTACATGATTTTAAACTTTTGTTTGTTTCAGGGTTGTTTGATTACTCTTCCGACAGTGAAATGATTGGAAAAGAAATTGTTAAATGCATTAGCATGGCCAAGGACGGTATTCATGCCGTTCTTGTAGTTTTTTCAGTCAGAACCCGCTTTTCAAGAGAAGAGGAAGAAGCTGTTCGCAGTTTGTGTAGATTTTTCGGAAACAAACTGACTGACTACATGATTTTAGTTTTCACGGGCGGGGATGATCTTGAAGAAAATGAAGAAACTTTGGATGATTATTTAGGCCGTAGCTGTCCTGAGCCTTTGAAAGTATACTGCCCTAATACATCTTATTATTATTATTATTATTATTATTATTATTATCTTCAATTTCATTCCCTTTTAAAGTTTAATGTCCTACACTGGCTGTCTTATTTGTTATTTGTGTGTGATTCTCTTCTATTGTAGGAAATACTTGAGTTGTGTGGGAACAGGAAAGTGCTTTTTGATAACAAGACAAAGGATAAAAGAAAGAAAGATTCGCAGTTGACACAACTTCTCAGCCTTGTAAACACAGTGGTAGATCGGAACTGTGGGAAACCATACACTGATGAGATATTCTCTGAGTTGAGGGTATGTAGTTCTTTGGAATAATTGTTTTTTTGTTCGGATGGCTGTACTTGATGTGCTAATTGTTTTTGTCAATAGGAAGGAGCTGTTCAAATCCGTAATCAAGTTGCAGAGTTTAGTTCATTGGGATGCTCCAAACAAGAGATATCTGAATGGAAGGATCAATTGCAAAAATCTTATGATGACCAACTTCAGCGGATCACTGAAATGGTATGTCAATGAAAACAAGCTAATACTACAAGTTTCTTTTATGGCTCTTTTAATGTGCCAAACTAGCAATTTTAAGGCCCAACTGAGTAATGGATAATCAAAATTCAAACACGACATATCATACAGTTCAAGGTTTTTGTCAAGTTGTACCTTAATAGATGATTATGTCGAGTGGCTCAATCCGGTTGTCACTAAAATTCTAGAATTATCTAAAATATTTATTTAAATTATAGAGTACTTTCTCAAATTTTTTCATCCATCCAATTTATATTGTCTATTCTGAAAGGGAACAATTTCACTACCAAATATACTTTTTACCCTTAGCTTAAGATCTCCTAGTTGGCCCAACCCCCTAGCATGTACATAGGTATAAAACAATGTTGATTAACTGTGTCGAAAGTAAACAAGACATCATTTTTGGGATGCATTATGCATTTAATAAACTGATGAAAATACCATATCGAAGTGCCATTTTCATTTATTTCATCCATTTCAACAAGAAAAAAAGAGTAAAATTTGCATTATACTTCTTCATTTTCTTTCGTTCATCCAAAAAAAGTTGGTGTTTATTGAAAACCATGGCCTATCGCGTATATAAGCGGGAAAATGCCCTGCCAAAATCTGCACTATGCATTTCTTTGTTGTTGAAACAATTTTACTTGTTACTTTATATGTGTACAATTTACTCGTTTTTAATTTTGTATCTTATGCGTATGCCATGACAGGTGGAGACAAAGCTGAGGGAGACCACCCACAGGCTCGAGGAACAATTGGCGAAAGAGCAAGAAGCTCGTTTGCAGGCGGAGAAAAGTGCAAGAGAAGCCCAAGAGAAATCTAACGATGAGATCCGCAAGCTGAGAGAGAATTTGGAGAGAGCAGAAAAGGAGACCGAGAAGCTCCGCAAGGAAGCGAAAGAAAGAGGATGCTCTATCCTGTGACCAAACTGGGTGAGTGTATTATATCAAGGGAAATCGAGAAGTTTATTTTAGGGACGAAGTAGTTTTTGGTTCTGTTACTTGATTAGTCTGCTCATATAGTCATATGTTTTGAGATAAATTCTATTTCTGTTTATATCTAGCTAAATTGGGTAAGATTTGCTTGACTTTGGATTAGATATACAACATGTTATATATGGGCTTCTTTAATAATAAAAAAACATATGTTATATATCGTCTATCTATATTGGAAAAAAAACTTCCAATAAAGAGAGTGATGATGTGTGTGTAATGTATTTATTTTATGAACCTCTAATTTAGTTAAAAGAAAAAATCTTTTTTAATCAAAAATAAATATAATAAGGTAAACACTCGTTTTATTGACCTTATTGTATAAATATCGTGAATGCGTTGAGCTTTTTGAACCTCTTCCAGGAAAATATGAGAAAGTTCATATTTTACATGTGGATGAAATTATGGAAGTACAACTCCACAAATAAATTATATCTAAAACATTGTTTTGATTTTTTAAAAATTTAGTATAAATCAATATTTACTAATTGTACCCAAAATAATTTCATATGCTACAATTTATTAATATTTCCTATTTATTCTCTTTTCAATCAACTAGATATAAGTTTAAAATGTTATATATCATATTAAAACAAACTAAACTAGATGGAGAAGTACAAAAGATACAAATCAGAATACTTTTATTAGTCAAAAATATCTGGTGAAAAAATAAAATATTACTTGGAGTATAATTTTAACTCTTTCCAGCTTCTACTTTAGGTAAAAAAACTCATTTGGCATAAATAATTTTAAATCATTTTAAGGACTAGACTGCGATCATCCTAACCTGATTACCCTGTCCAAAATGGTCCCTAATTTATTAAAGACTGAACTAGTCTCGATTTTGTGAAAAGAATAAAATACGGAGTAGTATCTATAGTTTCAAAGAATCGATCCTGATTCTTTTACTCATCTCCAATTATACCCTAAATTAAAAATAGGGAATCTTTAGCTTTATCAACTTAAGTCATTTATAAAAAAAATACTCCAGGTTTATGATTTTTAAAATATTAACATAACTTCATGACTTCATATGCCATTTATCATGTTTTAAAAAGTTCAATATGGAAGTTTGCGTTTACTTTCAATGGAAATCTCACAACTTACCAAATATTTAGGAGTGTTTCTATGTACTTGTAAGCAGGGTCAAAACTACTTATAAGTAGTTTTTATTTTATAAGTCAGTAGATGACATGTTTCTATGTACTTATAAGTTGCTTATAACGCAGGAAAAATAAGTAGGTCTTACCTACTTATTTTTAAGTCAGTTTTTTTGTTTCTCCATTTTGACTAAATTACTTACAAAATTTTTCCTCACCCATCATGAATATTCCCAAAATTATTTAAGTCATTTTATCTACACGGAAGAATTTTTAACCCATAAGCAGCTTATAAATTAAACACTGCTTATATGCAATAAGTCAATAAACACTAGCACAGAAAAATACCTACTACTTAGGTTGCATTCTGTTCGCTTGATCTCATCTGATTTTTTGAAGATCTGATCTGGTTGCATTTATAATTAAAGCTGTTTCTGATCTGGTCTAGTTTGATCTGATATGATCTGGTCTGGTATGATATGATCTAATCTGATTATAATAAGAATAAGTAATAAGCGGAAAAAAATAAGTTGAACGAAACGCTGCCTTAGAATGAAACATTACCGAAATCGGGCCGAAAACCACCAGTATAACAAGAACGAGAACCACCAATTCCGTCCGAGAATCAGCCCGTATCCAACTCTATCCCAACCACATCACGCATTGGCCCTCCATTCTAGGAGACAAGAGCCCTTTTTATTCCTTGGAAGAGACACCTTGGGCCAACACCAAGTTTGAAACGTTTCAGGCTCAATAACATCCTTTTCGGCAAATTATTTTCTAATTACCTGATGTTTGATTGTAATTACTTTCAAATCATTTTATAGTATGGATTTAAAAAAATAAAATTACACACTCCCTCCGTCCCCCTGTATTTGTCCACTTTCATTTTTACACACCATCCAATGCACTTCTTTAATCCATTTTATCTTGTAATTTGTATATTAAAAAATTATAAAAATTATATATTAATAATCTATATGTTAAGACAAATCAAACAAGATCACACATGACTATATTTAGGCTTACACATTGAGAGAATTTGATGAGTCAAAGTGTTTAGATGAACAGTTCCAAAAGTCAAATATGGACAAATACAGGGGGACGGAGGGAGTATTTAAAAATAATATCAAAAGATCAATAAAATAAGAAGTGACATGATTATATTATTTTATCAAATGAGAAACAAAAATAAACAATTAAAGTAAACCATTTATTATTATAATATTTGAGACTCATGTATTTAAAATGTTGACATGTGTCGTCGTACATGGCAAATTTTAAACAACATAGCATATAAATAAACTACATGGCATGCTTTAAATGCTTATTCATCATTTATGAAAACTTTATTTATGATAGCCTTTACAATTTGATGAGTTTTGAAAAATATTTTATATTAAAAAAATTATGGACTTTTGAACTTATTGAGAATTATGTAAATTAAATAAAACTTATAATTTTTCAACAAAAATTAGATGAATTATTCAAAAAAAAGAGAAACTAATCATGATTAGTTTGTGTCTTTTTTTCATAAAAACTACAATGGTATTAAATCTCTTTTTGAGTAAAATAGGAGGTTTTTAAAAACTATTAATCTATTCTTTTGTATGGAAATTTATTGAGTTAAAATATAGGTCATCTTATATCACCTAATTAAATATGAAAAATTTATTAAAGAAAATTAGTGCTTTATGGATCTTAATAGTATATTCAATAATTTTAATAAGAAAATCTTTATGGTTTAATGTATTTCATAACTTCTTTAAAAATTATAATTTCTGTAAATGTATAACAAGGAATATAAAAATATCTATTAAGATTTCAATTTTGTTATGAGATATTATATATATCCACATCACGATACCGATAGTATTTAATAATTTAATTATTAAATAACGGATATTTATATAGAATAAAATTTTTATTTTAATATGAAAATATTTAATAAGAGGAAATATAAATTTTTAAACAATTTATTTTTCATTATCTTTATTAGTAGGACTTTTTAGGCTTTTATTTTTCCTTACCTGAACATAATTTTTCATAAAGAAAAAACTATTATAGTGAAAATTGAGAATTAATAAAAAAATATAATCTTGATATTCATATATTTATAGTTAGAAGTACCTAATGACTATATATTTTTGAACAGAATATATTAAAATAGTTTTTGTGCTTCATGTGGTTTGAAAAATATGTATGAATACACTTTTTGTTTTCAAAACTTATTTATAAAATGCCTATCAATTTAAAAGGTCGCACACGCCCCACCTCGGTTGGTACTATTACCCGTTCATTTTTGTCATTAAAGGGCATTGATGCCTATTTTCCAAATCACATGGGAGATGAAAAAGAAAGAAAAAGATACAAAAATACTTTTATTGAAAAGGAAAAATGTATCCATAAAACGTAGTGATTAGTTTTTTTGGGAAATCCAAAAATTTAATTTTTTGGATAAAATTCTTTCAGAATGATAAAGATAAATACATTTTTCGAACGACACCTAACAATTTCAAAATATTGTAAAAAATGTACCCTTATTATTTTTAAAATTAAAAAGAATAATTTTTTTGAGACATGTATTTATCTTTTTCAAACAAATAAAGACTTTTATGGACATCCCAAAAAATCATCACCCTAGCTACACTTTTATCTTGTCTATGAGAGTATTTTTGTATCTTTTTCTTTTATCTTAGAAAATAAAAGATAAAAAACATTTAATTTGAGGCAGGAATATATTATATTTTTATTTTCTTTATTTCAAAGATAAATAATTTTGATTTTTAAAAATATAATAAGCCATTATTTTAAAAAAGAAATTTAAGAATTTTTTTTTGAAAAGGAAACAAGAAGATGAAAAAGGAGAAACAAAGAAGGAAAAATAAAAAAATGAATGAAAAAATGAAGCACGTTCTAGTGTCCCTATAGTTTGGAAAATGAGCATCAACCCTCCCACTATCAAACTTCAGTTGCACTCATTTAGCGTGAAATGCAAACGTCTGAAATTCACTGGGAGAAATGGCATACATGAAACTTTTGAAAATCATCTCTATTTACAACTAATTAAGCTTTGGACAACTAATTAAGCTTTGGAAAGAGAGTGGAATACTGTCCGAAGCTTAATTTTTCAAATCATAGAGGCACCTGAGCTATTGTCTCATATTTTAAGATATAATACTAACATAAAGACAAAAAAATGTGGCATGCCAAATAAGCCTGCATATGGAAAGGGCGGCTGTTAGCGTTGTGGGCAGTTTTAACAATAAAAAAACAGAGAACGTATAAGTCAAACAAAAAACTAAATACTCCGTCCGTCCCAAAATAAACTTCTCATCCTTATTTGGGTTGTCCCAAAATAAACTTCTTCCCTTAATATAAGCACTCACCCAGTTTAGTCGCATGATAGAGCATCCTCTCTCTTTTGCTTGCCTGCGGAGTTTCTTAGTCTCCTCTTGTGCTCTCTCCAAATTCTCTCTCAGCTTACAAATAGATTTTTCTTGGGCTTCTCTTGCACTTCTCAAAGCCTCGAAACAAGCATCTTGCTCTTTCGCTTTCTCGCTCCGGAGTTTCTTCGTCTCCTCTCGCGCCCTCTCCAATTTCTCTCTCAGCTTACAGATCACGTCATTACATTTCTCTTCGGCTTCCCTTAAACTAAGCTCCGAACAATCGTCTCGCTTTTTCCCCGATATCTCCTCCACCCTACGGGATTCCTCCCTTAGCTTTTCCTTCAACTGTCATGATAAACACATAAGATACAAGAATTAGTATGAGAGTAAATTGTATTAGTTCAATACAAAAATCATTTTCTGTTTATTTAATGTTAAACGGCATCCCAAATATGATGTCCATTCACTTTTTGTTGGGGTTTCCTTACAAACCCATGTATGTGCTAGGTGGTTGGGTCACTTAGGAGATAGTAAACTAACTAACTAAGGGTCCGTTACGTATATGAAATTGATAGAATTGGAATTGAATTCACCAATTCTAATTCATTTTTTGCACTATGAATTCCAAATCCACATAATTTTTGTTCTACCGAACACCAAAATTTGAATTAAAATCCTCAATTTCAATTCCAAAGTTTGAATTCCGTATACCAAACAGGGCCT